GGGCGGGAGCCGCCTCTCGGACTTCCTACGATGCGGGTGCTGAGCTATGGCAAAGGGCAGCGAAGTGACGAGCAAGACCCGCGTACGACTGTGAAAGCCACCTGGAGCCACCTTGCCGGGATTGTACCTGCGGGTAGAAAGTCTTCCTACGACCGTCTTTTCCCCTAGAGGCACCAGGTAACAAGCAAATTACTACTTGCCTCACCCAGTTTCCTTCTGATCTTGTTTCTAGTATCTTATCTGCATTGCAGGCTACTTTACTTATTAATGTTTTGGAAATCATTAGGAAGGGCTGGGTACCCAAGGGCGCCTGCTCTGTGATGTTGTAATACAATGTCTAGTAGATGGAATATAAATCTGTACCTGAGCACTTAATCTAGAGTGAAAGCTAAGGGAAGATGGTATGCTCCACCCTAAGGATATTTTTTGAGAGCTAGGCGTGTGAAACCTGTCTGAAGATGCCAGAGATTAAAATTTCGTGTTTCCTTCAAGCTATGGTTGCCACGGACCATTTGGTATCCAACCCTCTCCAGATTGTGGACTGTGAGTGGGTGTTTGGTTTCCACCCATCATTTCAGCCAAGGATGCTTTTGACCCTTTTCTACCTCTGGCGCCAGGTTGTTTTCCTTTCCTTGTTGTGAAGGAGCTTGCCAGATCCTTTCAGTAGTTGTAAATTACGCATCTGGAGACTTTGACCCGAAATGGAGTTTTCTTTGGAACTTGCTTTGCATGGAAAGGAATTCATTGTCGAGGGTGTGTGTGTTAAGATACGGTGCTTAACTGCCAGGGTTTGCTTTTATGGAGCAGAATAAATCCATGAAAGAAGTCATTTCTGTATCTAGGAGAAGGAAGATAAGACCGTAGCCACCACCCAGCAGCATCCCCAGCTGTATTGTCTCCGTTGCCGAGAAGGACTTGTGTGTGCGTTTTTTTGTTTTGTTTTCTCCCTGTATAATAGACATTGTATTTTGAAATTTCTTTCCAGTGCCTTGATTTACAGGGAGCAGGCTGGATTTGAGGCTGTCTAATTAACATATTGGGTCTGGTATGTTAAAATGGAGATTCCCATGGCCGACTGAGGCGGAACAAATTTAGTTAACTTCCAAAGCCCCTTGCCCTCGCGCCTTATTCCTCTCATTTCCTTTTCCCATCACCTCTGCGTCCGCCCCCTACAGAAAATTTCTCTGCCTTCTCATAGACATTAGGATTAACAAGATAAAGCACTTTCAAAGTAGTCTCATCAATGTTTTATTCCTTCGTGAAGACGATCTGAATAATTCAGCTAAGGAGTGCTCGTTTGTCTCCCGCCTTCGGGAGCTGCCTGCTGGCTGCGTTCAGCGGAACGTTTGGCCGGGCCAAGCGCAGGGCGCCCTGCTCCGGGAGGCAGGGACTGGGGATGCTAGGGGGAGGGGAGCACTGGGGGTTCTCTTTGCTAAAGCTGCTTGGGAAGGGTAGGGGCGCTGTCTGATTTTCCTCCACTCGCTGCGTTTCTGTAGATATTCATATGATGGCATTTGCAGACTTCAAGCTGGCCGGTAGCTGCTCTCGCTGTCCCTGCGCGCTGACGTCCCCAATTCCTCTACTGGAGTCCGGGCTCGGCTGCTGC